CTTTGACGGTCATTGATCCTACATGAGGCAAACCATCAAAACATTTTAAGTTATTAAAATGTTGTGGTGTGTTGTAATTATGGGATGCAAAATAGAGACAAGATAAATCTTGTATTATTAATGGTGTAAAGATCTCATGTGCATAATAAAATAATGGAGGTAGTCACCATAAAAGTGTAGACCTCGAATTGGGCATAGTCGTGATAACGGTAGATGCCAAGTAATTATGCAAGTTGTATAAACACGTCTTAAGGTAGTCATCAAGAATGATGTAGGCCTTAGTCAATTTACAAAGCAATTGCGACATGACGTTGAGGATAGTCACTAAGTTGTGGACTTAGTGTAGATCCCTGATAGCAACTATGGTGCTACCTTGTGTATGGCCAATAGGAATATGAATTAATGGTAGTCATCTTTGTGAAAAGATGTAGACCAAATGTTCTAATTTGTGATGTTGGGTGCATACGTTGAGGATTGTCACTAAGTGTTTACTTAGTGTAGATCCCTTGATAGCATCGGTGGTGCTACCTTGTGTATGGCCACAAACAAATAGGGAACATGCTGCGTTAAACAATTGATGAGAAAATATAGATAAAATGTCACATCCATTATTTAAAGCCGTAGTGCTTTCAATTTGAAAAGCGTAAAAGGGCTTAAATAAAATGATCCATTGCAAAATAGATAAATAAATAAATAATTTGCAAGATCATGGTTGCAATAACAAGGATATTATTTATTGGATTTGCCATACATCTTTGAGACAAATACTTTGAATAATATCATAAATGGATATTTTACAATGATAAAATATCACAAGTACAATTATAGTTAAAGTCAATGACTAAACATAAGAGTATTTTAATTTTCTGACATATAATTATAAGAGACTAACATAGTCATTGATGAATTAATGCTTGAAAATAAATAAAATAGATAAGAAGCTGTGCCAAAGAAAAGCCATTTTCATTTTGGGGCCCACTGTCCAATCGGCATCGGCATGCATGGGAGAGGAGGGAGGCAGAGCATCGGCCTTGGGCTGGCCCATAGTCGCGCTCACGCCCTTAAAAAGGGGGGTCGAGGCGCGATTAGGTTTCACCCCTAGCTGCTCCGCCGGCCGCCATCTCAGAGGCCACCGCCGCTAGTTGTCTCCTTGCCACCGCGCTCCACTATGCTGCTGTGAGGTCGAGATGGCGGACTAGAGGGGGGGTGAATAGTCTTTTCTAAAATTAATCGCGTCGGCTAACCGATATAAATGCGGAATTAAAACAATCGGTCTAGCCAAGACTACACCCCTCTATATATGTTCACTAGCACCTTGCAAAGATACTAATAAAGCAACTAAGGTGCCAGGCTAGCTAGAGCTCTCCTAAACAATTCTAGGAGCAAGGTCACACAAACCTATGCCACTAGTACTTTAAGTAACAAGGGACCTCCTACACATGCTAGTAAGCAAAAGCACAAAGCTAACTAAGCTCACTAGCAATGCTCAATAACAAGGCAACCAATGCCTAATTAGAGAGCGCAAATACTTAGCTACACAAACTAAACAATGTGACTAACAAGGTTACTAAAACCAAATTAGCCACGCAAGGGAGCTACTTCTATGCTACACAAGCAAGAAGGTAACTAGTAAGCTACACAAGCTAACTAATTACAAGAGCAACTACACAAGCTTAATATGTATAAAAGTAATTGCAAGCTTGTGTAATGGGGATGCAAACCAACGGGAAGAACAAGGTTGACACGATGATTTTTCTCCTGAGGTTCACGTGTTTGCCAACACGCTAGTCCCCGTTGTGTCGACCGCTCACTTGGTGGTTCGGCGGCTAATTAGCATCACCCGCTAAGCCCGCACGTCGGGCACCGCAAGAACCTACCTCTTGAGTGAGGGTAGCTCAATGACACGCTTTACTAAAGTTGCTCTTCAGCGACTTCGGGGGCGCAGCACAAGTACCCCTCACAAGCACTTCTCGGGAGCGCCAGACAAGCTTCTCGTGGGCTTCCACGGAGACCACCACTAAGTTGCCGTCTAGGAGGTGGCAACCTCCAAGAGTAACAAGCACCACCGGCTCCTGCAACTCGACCACCTAGTGCCACTCGATGCAACCTCACGATGCAATCGCACTAGAATCGCTCACTCACACAATCGAATGATCACTATCAAGTATATGTGTGATGGAGGGCTCCCAAGCACTCACAAGCATGGACACTAAGTCCCCCAAGGTGCTCCACACCAGCCATGGCCGAGGGCCACTTCTATTTATAGCCCCAAGGGCTAAACTAGCCGTTACCCCTTCACTGGGCAAAAGTCAGGTTGACCGGACGCTGGACCTCAGCGTCCGGTCGCCCGCAGATGGCCACGTGTCCTGATTCCAACGGTCACTTGATCTGACCGGACGCAGCAGCTTCAACTGACCAGACGCTGAAGCCCTAGCGTCCGGTTGTTTCCAGTAAGCTCCCCGAGGCGTATTTCTTCGATCGGACGCGTCCGGTCTACCTTGACCGAACACACACCAGCGTCCGGTGCAATACCCTCGATCTGCTGGTTGATCGACCAGCTCGACGACGCATGCTACCAGCGTCCGGTACTTTCAGACCCAGCGTCCGGTCAGTTGACCGACGCCAGCGTCTTCGCGACCAACTCATTTTCACTTCTAACTTCTTCACCCTTGCTCCATTGTGCCAACCACAAGAATTTGCATCCGGCGCAATAGAAAATAGGCATTCCATTTTCCCGAAAGCGCCGAATCCCGCCCACTCGATCCTAGCGACGATGCAAAGTTAGATCACTCGAGTGACACTAGATGACCGATATACAAACAAGTTTGCTCCTCTTGATAGTATGGCCATCTATCCTAAACCCGATCATCAATTTCTCTACACACCTATGACCGGTGAAATGAAATGCCCTAGGTTATACCTTTGCCTTGCGCATTCCATTCCATCTCCTCCAATGTCGATGCAACATATGCACCAACACGATCAACAATGATATGATCCACTTCATATCATCACGTGATCATATTGGTTCATCGATCTTGACTTCACTTGCCCTTCACCGTTGCCATCGTCCATCGGCACCAAGTCTTGCTCAAGCTTCACCGCCACACGGTCCATCACTCCAAAGCCTTCGACTTGCCCTTCACGCTTGTAAGCGGTCCATCAAGCCAAGTCTTGTCTTGATCTTCTCTACCTTGATCACATGACTCAATGTCATGTCTCATGTGCGTTAAGCTCCTTCATCATCACATGTGTGAGCTTTGCAACATCTCTAAGCCATTTTCACCTTCATGGCATATGTTGCTCACACACATGTACCTATGGACTAATACACTGTGATATCTCACATAAACACAATTAGTCCACCTAGGTTGTCACTCAATTACCAAAACCAAACAAGGACCTTTCAATCTTGCGTGTGGAAAGTTGGAGCGGCGAACTCGGGAGGAGGTATAGGTTCGTGTGTTAAGTTTGGGTCTTGTTTGTTTGGTAAAATAGTGGAAGGTTGGAAGGATCTTGGCTGCTACTTTTGGTGTCGGCTTCGTTTTCCTTTCCACTAGAAAGGGTCTGTGCTCATAATGCTTTTATCCAGCTTGTCAAAAAATCTAATAAGCTAAGTGAAAATTTGAGTTTCGAAGATTAGTTGGAAACCCAGAGGTTACACAGTGGACCTCTCAGCACTCATGTTTAGTTGAGCAGAACTTTAGTGTGATTCACCTTAGCTGAGCTGCTTGTTGTTTCATATGGATCATTTACATCACCTCTTGTGCCATTGAATTTCTTTTTTAACTACCGGTAATCGGTATATGTTCTTGTCATGTTCTTTGCAGGAGGAGGACATGAAGCAATTAGGGCAATGGGGAAGCAGCACACTAGGCCACCCTGAGAACTTTGAGACTCCAGGAGTTGAAGTTACCACTGGTCTATTTTCTTCTATTGGGCTCTATCTGTGCATAAGTGTGTAAAGGCCCATGGCCTATGTACCATGTATATATATATGTAACCTTAAGCAAAGACTAGAATCAAGAGTTCTAGAAATTTCCCCAAATATCAACATGGTGTCGGAGCCGATGGTGGTGGCGATGGAGGCGACCTCCCGCTTCACTGGTCGGGCGTGTGTTGCCGGGCGGCCGCGCGGCGATGTGTTGGGAAAAGCAGCAAGGCGGGAGGCGGCAGGTGAAGCGGAGGGCAGCAAAGAACCTTGCTTTGGCGAGGAGAGACGCCAGGAGGCTACGGGGTGAGCACGAGAGGCAGTGGCACGGCCGAGCGTTCAGTAAGAAGAAGAGCGCCGCTTCCCCGGGGTGAAGGTTGTGGACGATAGTGCAACGCAGAGAGGGAGCTCACAGTACTGTGTGCAGTGGAGAGAAATCAAAGGGATTTGAGGTGCAAGAGCGTGGAGCTGCTTAGGTGAAGGATGCGGTGGTCGTGAAGAGGATGGGCGACCTAGGTGTCTGTGTGTGGCGGTGAGGGCCAAGGGGCCTTGGTGGCGTGGAAGGTGGAGTCTGGCCGACGATGAGTCGTTCGCCGCCAAAGACAGTCTGTGTGGCTCAAGACTTCCGACGAAGAGGAGAGCTCGTGGAGCGTGTTCGTGTGCACATGAGCGAGCAGTTGTGTGCCTGTGTGCTCTGCATTTTTGTTCTTGATTGAGATTGGGAGTAGAAAGGAGGATTGGACACTGGGATTGAAGGTGGTGTCAATTTTGGCCCGGTGAGAGGTGCATGCTCTTGCATTGCAAGAGAGGCAATCACTCAATCAGTTGCTAGCTTTAGCTTGCTTGGGGCAAGTACAGGTGAGTGGTGAGCTGATTGGTAGAAGCTCTGAAGGAGCCGTTGTGAGGGGGAGCTGTAGAGAAGGTGATTGTGAAGGTGGAGCAGCGTGCTGCTGCTCGGAAGGAGCTGTTGTGAGGGGGAGCTTACAGGTTTATGTGAAGGAAGAAAGTAGAAGATGAGGGAGAATCAAGAAATCATGAAGTTCTTGGGAGATTATCTGAACTAGAAAAAATGGTGAAGTTACTCATTGTAAAAATCAGCTCAAGTAAGGAAACTATGGAGAAAATGGAGATGATACAGAAGGTGGTGTTGATGCCCACGGGTACCAACTTGGAAGATATTCATGCTAAAGCTCTCTCATTCATGAAGAGAGCTCAACATGGATGGATATTGGACTCTGGTGCTTCCAAACATGTTATTGGTGCCCCTGATGAGTTTATATCGTACACATCATATCCATCTACATATAAGGAGACCATTCAAACTGCTAATGGGACATGTCAACCTATCAAAGGTACTGGTACTATCAAGTGTACCCCATCAATTACTCTGTCATCAGTTTTGCATGTCCCTTCTTTTTCTGTTAATCTAGTATCATTAAGTGCATTAGTTGATCAAATGGACTACCGAGTCTCTTTTGATCAAGAGCATTGTCTGATTCAAGATAGGAGGACAGGAAAGGAAATTGGAATTGGCACTAGGCATGGTGGATTATGGTACCTAGACAGGAAGGAAGATGGTAAGTTTTCTAGTGCTGCTTTGGCAGCAAGCATGAATGAAGATGAAGCTAAGGTGATGCTTTAGCATTGTCGACTAGGGCATTTGTCATTTGATACTATGGCCAAAGCATTTCCAAAAATAATGAGCAAGACAGATAAGAGGAAACTAATATGTGATGCATGTGAGTATGGGAAGCATACCGAAGGCAACGTATGTAAGCGAGAGGACTTAGGAGTATAAATCCATTTATGCTAGTCCATTACGATGTGTGGATGAGCCCAGTCACCTCAGTTAGTGGAATGAAGTATTTTGTCACTTTTATTGACTGCTATTCACATATGACTTGGATCTATCTCATGAAACACAAGAGTGAAGTACTTAAATGCTTTCAGGATTTTTGCTCACTTATTGGAAATCAATATGATGCTTGAGTTAAAGTGTTGAGGACAGATAATGGAACGGAGTATGTGACCAATGAATTCTGTAGTTTTTAATCAGCTCAAGGGATCTTACACCAAACTACATGTCCTGATACACCTCCACAAAATGGAGTTGCTGAGAGGAAAAACCGTCATATCTTGGAGGTTGCACGCTCACTTATGTATGCTATGAATGTGCCAAAGTTTCTATGGAGTGAGGCAGTGATGACATCGGTATATTTGATTAATCGTACGCCCTCGAGATTGCTTGGTTGGAAAACTCCTTACAAGATGTTAGGAGTGAATGAGTTTATTGTTCCGCCTAAGGTATTTGGGTGCACTTGCTTTGTTAGGGATCACAGGCCTTCTGTGGGAAAGCTGGACCCCTGAGCAGTTAAGTGCATATTTGTGGGTTATTCCTCAAGTCGAGAGAAAGGGTACAAGTGTTGGTGCCCTATTGAGCACGTCTCTTTGTTAGTATGGATGTGACATTTCGGGAATCTGAACCTTACTATGGGGAGAAGATGGATTTGAGTTCCTTGTTTGAGCTTGGTGAACCAAGCATGAGCATGTATGAACAAGAGGGGATATATGGCATAGATGTAGCACAAGATAATGAAGGTCACCAATCAAGGGCAACGAAAGTTATCACAGGACTGATTCCATTGCGTGTAGGTGATTCTAATGTCAATGAGAGATAGGAAAACGGAAATGTTAATAACATGAACACAAAGCAAGGAAATAGAAATATTGTGCAGGTTTATACTAGAAGAAATAAAATGTTGGAGTGCAGACCAATGGAGCAACAAGTTGAGCAGCCACAATTGGTGGAGCAACATGTTGAGCATTCGCAACTATTGGAGCAACAACAATCTTCAGTTGGTGGTATTGACATTGGTGATAGTGAGGTTGAGCAGTCCACAGAGACAAGGGGAGAAGTTGACTCTTCCGTTGATTTGCCTATTGCTCTAAGAAAGGAGGCAAAGAGTACAATTTGAAACCTCCGATTAAACTGGCTTTGAGCATGACATAGGTAATTATGTCTCGTCACGATTTAATCATTATCTCCTCGCATATAAAGCATTTATTGCTTCATTACAATCTGCACAAATTCCTAAAGATTGGAAAGAAGCAATGCATGATCCCAAGTGGCGTGAGGCCATGTTGGAGGAGTTGAGAGCTCTTGAGAAGAATAGAACTTGGGATCTCATAAAACTACCTACAGGAAAGAAAGGCAGAAGTCGCAAATGGGTGTTCTTTGTGAAGCAAACTCTTGAAGGAAAGGTTGAAAGATACAAAGCTTGACTTGTTGCGAGGGGTTAAAGCCAAACATATGGCATTGACTATGATAAGACATTTGCACTGTGGTGAAGATGAGTACTCGAGAATTTTGATATCTTGTGCATGCCAATTTGGTGGCCTTTGTACCCGATTAGATGTAAAAATGCTTTCTTGCATGGTGATCTCCAAGAGGAGGTGTACATGGAGGTTCCACCTTGTTATTCTAATCCAGAGATGGTAGGAAAGGTATGCGAGACTAAAGAAATCTTTATATGGACTTAAGCAATCTCCCGGGCATGGTTTGATAGGTTCAAAGCGTGCATTATGTGCCATGGGATACAAACGATTGCAATGGAGATCATATTGTATTCTATAAACATTCAAGGCGCAAGATCACTTGTGTGTTGGTTTGTATATGTGGACGATATCATTATTACTTGGTGATGATGAAATGGAGATCAAATGTCTCAAAGGGAATCTAAGTAGAGAGTTTGAGGTCAAGGACCTTGGTCAGCTCAAATACTTTCTAGGTATTGAGATTGCACGAAATCCAAAAGGTATTGTTCTATCACAAAGAAAATATGTTCTCGACCTGCTTAGTGAGACCGGTATTCTTGGATGTCGAACTGTATCAACACCAATTGATTTGAATCACAAGTTATGTGCCGAATCAGGTCATCTAGTCGATAAGGAAAGATGTCAGAGGCTTGTTGGACGCCTTATCTATCTATGTCATACGAGACCTGATATATCATATGCATGATAAGTGTTGTGAGTCGATACATGCATGACCTATGGAGTGGACATTTGGATGTTGTATACCGGATCTTGAGATACTTAAAGAGTAGCCCAGGAAAGGGCATGATATTTAAGAGTAATGGACACTTGAAAGTGGAAGGCTATTGTGATGCTGATTGGGCTAGTTGTCTTGATGACAGGAGATCAACTTCAGGCTATTGCGTCTTTGTTGGGGGGAAACTTAGTGTCATGAAGGAGCAAGAAGCAGTCTGTTGTATCCCGTTCAAACAGCCAAGCGAATATAGAGCGATGTCTCTTGGACTTTGTGAAATGTTATGGGTAAGGAATCTTTTATCTGAATTAAATGTGTTAAGAAAAGACCCTTTGAGGATCTGGTGCGATAACAAGTCAGCTATCAGTATTGCAAATAATCCTGTTCGGCATGATAAAACCAAGCATGTGGAGATAGACCGCTTCTTCATCAAAGAGAAATTAGATGATGGCATACTGGAGCTAAGTCATGTAAACTCAGGTGGTCAAATAGCTGATTGTTTAACAAAAGGTTTAGGAGTAAAAGAATGTAATTTAGCATGTAGCAAGATGGGAATGATAGATATCTATCACCTATCTTGAGGGGAGTGTTAGGCTTTATCTGTGCATAAGTGTGTAAAGGCCCATGGCCTATGTACTATATATATATATATATATATATATATATATATATATATATATATATATATATATATATATATATATATATATATATATATATATATATATATATATATATATATATATATATATATATATATATATATATATATATAAGCAAAGACTAGAATCAAGAGTTCCAGAAATTTCCCAAATATCAACATCTTTTCTATAGAGTTGACACTAGTAACTAGTAAGTTTCCTGCTGTACTGTAAAATTGAAAGTTTCGGTTTCCGATACCTCTTGGTCAGGGTGTCGCCAATGCCGTTGGGTTGGCACTTGCTGAGAAGCACCTAGCTGCCCGCTTCAACAAGCCTGACAGTGAGATTGTCGACCACTACACGTAATAATTCTAATGTGAATGTGCCATGTTTCGCTTTTAGTTTGTGTGGTGCAGTTTTGGTAAGATGTTTCATGAATTTTGTACAGGTACGTTATTTTGGGAGATGGTTGCCAAATGGAGGGTGTTGCTAATGAAGCTTGTTCCTTGGCTGGGCACTGGGGTCTTGGCAAGCTGATTGCTTTCTACGATGACAACCACATCTCCATTGATGGAGATACAGAGATTGCATTCACAGAGGACGTGAGCACCCGCTTTGAGGCTCTTGGGTGGCACATAATCTGGGTTAAGAGTGGGAACACTGGCTATGATGAAATCCGTGCAGCTATTAAGGAAGCAAAGGCGGTTACTGACAAGCCCACCTTAATCAAGGTTTGTTTCTTTGGTATTTGCAATCTTTTTATGTTTTGTTTGCTGTAGATTTTATAATATTGGTCTAATTTGTATCCTTTTTAGGTGACAACCACAATCGGTTTTGGATCACCCAACAAGGCCAACTCATACAGTGTGCATGGAAGTGCATTGGGTTCCAAAGAGGCCGAAGCAACCAGGCAGAACCTTGGATGGCCCTATGAGCCATTCTTTGTACCAGAGGATGTCAAGAGGTAGGTCTTGTTGTTTGCTCTAATAATCTAGGTGTCCGAATGAGATGGTGAAATGCATAGCACAAATACAGTTTCTTTGAATGTATCATTGCAGCCACTGGAGCCGCCACACGCCACAAGATGCTGCACTTGAGGCTGATTGGAATGCCAAATTTGCAGAGTGAGAAGAAGTATGCAGACAATGCAGCAACTTTGAATAGTCTCATCACAGGGGAGTTCCCCACTGGCTGGGCTGATGCTCTTTCGGTAAGAATAACATACTTGTGCACAATACTACAGCTGGTGCTGATGTGTGGAGGATTATACTCTAATGGTTGATTCTTGTTTTCCACCCTAGAAATACACTCCAGAGAGCCCAGCGGATGCCACCAGGAACCTCTCCCAGCAATGCTTGAATGCAATTGCTAATGTGTGCCTGGTCTTATTGGAGGTAGTGCTGATCTTGAGTCCTCCAACATGACCCTGCTTAAGATGTTTGGTGACTTCCAGAAGGATACGCCTGAAGAGCGCAATGTCCGCTTTGGAGTCAGAGAGCACGGAATGGGCGCCATTGCTAATGGCATTGCTCTGCACAGCCCAGGGTTTGTTCCATACTGTGCTACTTTCTTTGTCTTCACTGATTACATGAGAGGTGCCATGAGAATCTCAGCTTTGTCTCAAGCCGGAGTTATCTATGTTATGACCCACGACTCTATTGGTCTCGGAGAGGATGGCCCGACCCATCAGCCCATTGAGCACTTGGTGAGTTTCCGCGCAATGCCGAACATACTGATGCTTCGCCCTGCTGATGGCAATGAGACTGCCGGAGCATACAAAGTTGCAGTTCTCAACAGGAAGAGGCCATCTATTCTTGCTCTCTCAAGGCAAAAGCTTCCTCATCTGCCTGGCACCTCAATGAGGGTGTTGAGAAGGGTGGATATACCATCTCTGACAATTCAACCGGCAACAAGCCTGATCTCATCGTGTTGAGTACCGGCTCTGAACTAGAGATTGCTGCCAAGGCTGCTGATGAGTTGAGGAAGGAGGGGAAGACTGTCCGTGTTGTATCATTTGTTTCCTGGGAACTTTTCGAGGAACAGTCAGTTGAATACAAGGAGAGTGTTCTCCCTGAGGCCGTTACTGCAAGAATCAGCATTGAGGCTGGTTCTACTCTCGGATGGCAAAAGTACATTGGAGCCCAGGGCAAGGCCATTGGCATCGACAAATTCGGTGCAAGTGCTCCTGCTGGAAAGATCTACAAGGAGTATGGCATCACTGTGGAGGGCGTTATTGCGGCAGCCAAAAGCTTCTAAGACTCATAACTGAGTTTTTGTTGTCATCGATGCTAAAGGAACGCCATACCTGGAGGTCCTGTGCCCAAAACTTGCAATAATTGAGGGAGCATAAAGATGCCTGCGCTTGGAGGGTGAGTGGTATTTTAGGACTGTAATAACTAATAAACAATGTGTTTGCCATTTACATTGGTTTTTATTCGGTGACCCCTTAGACGATTCATGAAGTTGAGTTTGATTAAATTCGGTGCTGGTTTTTTTGGTAACACTGGCAATCAATTGATAGTCTTGCTCTTGCAACAATGTTTCATTCTTTTCTTCACGAGATCCTGGGTTTAAATCACGCTGTGCCTTAGTTAGATTTTTTTTTTGAAGTAAAAGGCAGGAGTTCTGCTGCTCAATTAAGTAAGAGAAAATAGAGGTTTATGTACAAGTGGCACTCATGGTGCCAGACCCCTGGTCCTAGGACCAAAAAAAGAACTCGTCTCCCTGCACTAGTTGGCTTCCCCAACAATGGCCACAGCCCTGTGCCTCTGCACTATGTGTTCTTTGGTCAAGGAGGCGACCTGCTGCGCCGTCCTGTACTTATTTTCAAATATCCTCCTATTCCTCTCCTTTCACAGATTCCACCAAATATAAATACATACTCCATTGAAGCGCCAGCGGTGGTATGTTACTTGCCGTCTGCTCCCACCATTCTGCAATTGAGAGAGTTTCTGGATGGGGGAGTTGCACAGCGAAATTTTCCCAAGATAGAACTTAATCCCAAACAGCTGTAGCGTAGGGGCATAGCAAAGAAAGATGTAGCCCTGTCTCTATCGGACCATTACACAAGACGCGTAGTTGGATTTTTTTTAACTTCTATACAGTTTGTAGTGCTTTTATGATTGCAATATAAGCAGAGCATCTATTCAACTTCATGTGGTCTATCTTTTTTCTGTTTTTTTCTTGAATTCAAACCAAACATGGCTAGAAGTAGAACAGTGGCAACCTTTATCCACTTCAAATGCCTTGATGTGCTGAACTTTCTGTTGCTGCTGTAACTTGCAATAGCATATGAATCTGAATGTACCATTGCCAAGAAACAAGTGAACAAAATACCAATGCTGTTGCTTCAGGAAGGCTACTGTCTCTGATAACTATTATCAGGACTGTGCAGTTGAAGCTCCGATCCGAACTAGAAAGACAAGCTTGTTGGATGCAACACGCCATGGATAATGGATTTCTTTTTTGGCCAACGGATATTTGGGGTGCTGATGTTTATTTGGGACCATAGTATATACAATAATTCTGTGGTCGATTGGAAATTGTGAAGTTGCTGAAATCTCATGAAAATTCTTATACCTTAATATATTGAACAAATTATGGGCACAGTCCTTATATACCTTCTTAGTATATACAATAATATATTGAACAAAATTCTTAGTATATACAATAATATCTTGAACAATACTCCCTCCGTTCCAAATTATAAGTCGCTTTGACTTTTTTTGTTCATCAATTTTGATATGTATCTAGATATATTATTATATCTATATGCATAGTAAAATGGATGTACCAAAAAAGTCAAGCGATTTACAATTTGGAACGGTGGAAACCTATCTTATATACCTTAAAAATATTGAACAATAACACTTAGTGGCTTTATGTAAACTCACACATTATGGGCAGATACTTATTGTAAAAAGTTAAGTAACTCTTAGATAGGATCCTATTCTTTTATAAGAGTTCTTTCAACTTCTAAATCTTATATGGTTAAACAACCTAACTTAAATACTTAAATACTGCATACAAAATGATTTAAATAGTTTATTTATGAAGAGTAACATGGACCATATATTGCTAACTGCTATGTATTCACGCAAGGTTTAGATTTTTGGAAGATAAAATTGAGATGTAAAACATTATATGTTCTGATGTCCGGGACTGTTGTTAAACTAATTTTTTAACTGCTGGTCAAATAATAAAACTGATTTCAGACTTGAATGAATCAACTTTATTTTCCTAGAGGAAAAGGAAAAAATACTACCCTGGACAATATTGTCTAATCTCGCTACAGTAAACAGTCAGATATAGCTAATAATGCTCCGTTCTGTTATTTTTTGTGGTGGAGATTGTTGATGAGAAAGGCACAAGACATTACGTGATTGAAATATGCACTTGCATCTTCCAGAAGATGCTCGATGGAATTTGTTGTCCATTTGCCAGACAACAAATTGATGTAAGGATATGCTCGATGTGCTTGGTCAAACCTGTTGAATATTAGTGTTTATGTCAATATCTTTCTTGTGGAATTAAATAGCAAGTGTAAAACCTCAATGGCTATTTGAAAACTGATAGTTCTGATATCACACGGGCTAAGACATCAATGGGATCATATGTTCCGTCTACTATTTTTCTATAAATTACATGAAATTTTTGGATAGCATTCAGATCTTCAGAAAATTTTGAGAAACAAATGATGAAACGGAAGGCATAAGTATGTTCAACGTTCAAACATGTAACAACTAGCTAGCTTATCCTGTCCATACTTACTAACCAACGACTCCTGTACAGGATCAGGATCCTTCGTTCTCCTCTGCACAACTGGGCGCTGGCACTCGGCAGTTGGCACAGGATGACTACGGCCGTGGCTGTAGGCCTAACCGTCAGTTATTAGTTAAGTTGTAAGAGCCAAATCACAACAGTGGTCTCTTATTTGTTTATAAGAAAAATTTATAAGAATTTTTTTTATTAATTCTATCTATATCTTACTTTCTCTTTTCTAATCCTTCTCATGTTCACTTGTAGCGCTCAACACCCGCTTGCCGGCCATTGGGCCGGAAAGAAACGGAATCCATCTGCTTGTCCCAGGAGCCACCGCTCGAGTCGTTTTTGGCTTATAAGTCATGGTTTATAGTTGTCGCTCGTAACAATATTTTTTCTTATATCAAACCGCATAACAAGATTTTTTGTCAGCCATGACTTTATAAGCCAAAACAAGCTTAACTTAAGCAGGCGCCCAGCTTGGCGAGGAATCTTGCATGCAGGCGGACAGGCTATGGCAGGCAGGCATCCACGCGGCCAGCCAGGTCGGGCTGCTGGCTTCTCCGAACCAATCACGCTCTTACGTGCTCAGCTTGTTATTTGTATAAGAGCAAAACTCTCATCTCTCTCCTCCCCTTCTCTGTATCGGCATTTGCTTAGCTATAAACCAATTGTTGTACTTACTCAAGGTGCACAGAGCCAAACTCTCATATCTCTCCTCCTCTCCTCTGCATCAGCATTTGCTTGGCTATAAACAAGGCGCACAGTATCCCGGGATAGTGACCTACGATGCCGGTGGCCTTGGCCTTGGCATGCGCCTCGCAAGCTGCCACCGAGAAAGTTAAATTTGCTCAACAGGGCACAACTGCCACCTGGAGAGGACGGACTTCGTAGCTGCGTTGTTTGTTGCTCATGTGCATAGAGAAAGACGGCGTGCGTAGCCGGGGGTGATTCATGCGACTTAACAATCTAGGCGAGCGCCGTGAGGACAAGGAGCTTGTAGTACAGTGAACACGGGCTGTCACGGTGCTGCGGGATATCGGCACGAGGCTGGTTCGTGCGTGCTTGGTTGAGTGCCGAGGCGAGGAGGACGGATTGGTGAAGACAGGTAGGGAAGGGTGGCAACAACCATCGATTCAGGGACCGGAGGTATGGAGCCCGGCTCTTGAATAGCCAGTGGTCTGCGGCGAGTACTCTGGGCGGCGTCGCAAGCGAATGCTGCTGGTGACCCGCGGTTGCTGCGCCCGAGTCGCCTATTCGCGACGCCGCGCCAGCACCGGTGCCTGCTCCCTTCGGATTTTTTCAAGCCCCGAACACGACAAGCCCAACTCGAGCTATCGGTTTGAGTGAGAGCTCGAGCTCACGTGGCCCCTAGCTAGAGCAGGGGAGAAAATTAGAATTTTGTCCTTATGGTAGGCAAGCTTTGTTGGATTGCCATCTAAGTCTGTGAATTTCACAATGTATTTATAAAAGGTGTGCTTCACTCTATTTTGCTATTTCTCGTTTTTTTAGTTCTTAAAATTTTCAGCCCACCGTTTTGCCTGTGCCTTCGTCTACCTTGTTCTTGTTCCCTCTTCTCAGGGTCATGCCATTTTCTCCCACGGACGACCGGTGTCCGGGCGGTAGCCCGACGCTGGCCGCCGCCACCGCCCAAGGGCTGCCCCTCCCCCAGGAGCGCCGCCGCTCCCTGCGCGTGCAGCGGCTTGTCATGGAGGAGGTCCGGATCCTCAAGTGCGGCGAGGAGCCGCCCGCTCCCGCGCCAGCCCCGGCGCCGGTGCTAGCAGCGCCTCCCGTGGCGCAAGCCTCGGCGGCGGCGGCAGTTGACCAGCGCGCCCTATGCTCCAGTGGCCTGATCAGGCCACAGGCACCCGCTGTGGTGCCGACGAAGAATATAGTGGCCGCCCCCGCCGTAGCCAACGCGGTCGTCTACGCGGACCTGGCGTTTTAAAGGGATATATTTTTTTACAATACTCTCAATATTTAAATGGATCATTTCGTTCAGCAAGTCAAAGCACTCGATAGGTTTCCATCGGGATTGACCTTGACCGCTTTGGTGGTCAAAGCTTTTCACTCCAGGCCATATTTAGTTCACCTAGAATTTAAACTTTGGCACTATATAAAAAGAAGATTTTCCGTCACATTAAACTTGTGGTACATACATGGAGTACTAAATGTTGACGAAATCAAAAACTAATTGCACAGTTTGGTTGTACTTTACGAGACGAACGTTTTGAGCCTAATTAGTCAACAATTGAACAATTATTACCAAATACAAATGAAATACTACAGTGCACTGCAGTATCTAGCGGAATTCAGGCGGCGCCAACTTTGGGGGCAACTAAACGCGGCGTCAAATAAACACATCCCGTTCTAATTTTGAGGGGTTTAAATACATTCGTCGACCAGCATCAGCCTCGCGTATCCTGCCATCGCCAACCCAAATCCCCCGCGCAATCAGCACACCAGAGCAGAGCTCCCCAAAACCAGGCGGGCCG